CGTTTTTTATCGAGTGGACCAAAATTGCTCGAAATAGTCTGCCACCCATCCAATATTCCAGTTTCAAATGCTTTTTATTTTGGTTGTCTTTTAGCCATTTTTAAAATAGACCCACAAACTATCTATAGGGTTATGGTCAGGATTTTGGTCTGGCGTCACCAAAACTTTGGCACGGTTATAAAGAAACCACATCCACACTGTATGTGTCTTATGCTTAGAATCTCTATCCTGATAAAATTTGAAATGTGTATATTTTACATGGAGGTTTGGATAGCATACAAACAAAGTTTTTATGTTTACTGGTCGTTCTAGAGGCCGCAGTTATGACATCCTCCAAAAAAAGCAATTTCGAGGGAAAAAAAGAACCAATATTGTTCTGCCTAATTTTGATCCCATATAGCTCATTGTACGCAGGAATGGGGGCCCTCTCCGTAATTATTATTATATTTTCCATACAAAAAGGTTATTTTTGCTATGAAAATCTTTATAACAACCCGATTTCGCAGGAAGTTACCGGGATTACAACAGACGGGCGGATATAGCTTAATCGATTTTATAAGGTTAAGCCAAAAGCATTGCAAAAGCTTTCCAAGGCATCAAGAAATTGTCAGTTTGGGCTCCAGTGATGCCCCATCACTGGAGCGTACTCCTCAAATATGCCCCGAAGCGTAACATAACTGTGAATGGAGAACGCTACCGTAAACTTATATCCAACTTGTGTTTGCTTAAAATACAAGATATTAGTTTCATGAAGACGGTGCCACCTGTCACGCAGCACCCATAACAATGGACTTATTGAGATACGAGTTCGAGGAACATTTTATATCACGTTAGGGACCGAGAATTTGCATAAAATAATCTTTCAACACTAAATTATATAGACTAAAATATAGTAGTATGACCTCCATAATGTAATAGTGTAGAAACTAGGTCATTCAATGTTAAGTTGCATTGAGTTTCAATTATGAAAAATGAACGAAATGGTTCATTAATACAAAGAAAGTTCTTCATTTATGAGGTCAAACACATTATTTAATGTAATGGAAAAACTTTCATAATTGCAATGAAACTTCTACATTAATGCAGAGAACAACATTCATTAATTAAATGAAAAATATTCATAAATACAATGAAACTTATTCATTGCTACCATAAAAAACCTTCATGAACGGAATAAAAAATATTTATGAATGCAAAGAAACTTCTACATTAATAAAAAAATACAAACTTTAATTAGTGAAGGGAAAATTTTTTATCAATGAAATGAAATCATTTCATTAAAAACATGAATTATTTTCATGTAAATAGCTTATTTTATTAAGGGGACCCCACCCATTCTCGATTTTAATTTTTCAAGATTTTCAATGGGCTGGTAAATCAATACCAATGCTTATTAAGGATTGTAACTTTGCACATATATATTTGAAGATTTAAAAAGGAAGAAAAATAATTTACAAAAAAATTTTGTAGTTGTTTTGTTGTTGTTTTTTGTAATTAAAGAAAAGTCCTTATTTTTGATGGCGGGCATGATAACTCCTCACTGGAACATCGGAATCCGAAAATTCCAACGGTGTTAGAAAGAGTACATGTCTGGCTCTCGTATGAACTAGGATTATTGACTTCGCTCTAAAATTAACAAAATGATGGACCTTTGAAAAAATATTTTTAGAAAATCGCCGATTATTTACCAAAAACCAAGCCCTTCAGCCGTCACTTGATGCTGACACAATAAATCGGCTATATCTTCAAGAGTACTTGAGATTTTCACTTGAAATTTTGTAGAGACATTCTTTATTCAGTGTAGATTCGAATTATATCAACAAAAATTTTGACCCCGAGAATGGGGGGGGGTCCCTTAATAGACAATATTAATATTTAATTTTAAAATAGGAATTAAAATCATATTAATTTAAAATTGTGAATTGGACATTTAGATATATTATTCATTTATTTTGAAAGTGGTTTAAGTCCATTATTTCCTTATATTGAGATATTATATTATTAATTTTGTTTGTAGCTTTGTGCCCTTAAATATGATAGAATATACACCGGAATATGATTCGTTTACTTTTCTAGAAAAGTAAGATTTGTATCAAAACCTAAAATGGACTTAAACCACTTTAATCTATACTAATAAAAGAGTAAAGTGATTGAGTGACTTACTGACTAATTCATTGACTGACTTAACGATTCACTTATCGATTCATCAACGCCCAGACGAAACGGCTGAAGGTAGAATGTTGAAATTTGCGGTGAGGGTCACTCTTGGTTTAAAGGTGTCAGATAAGGCTGGATTTTTGGAAATTCGGACGAAAAGTTCTAAAAAGTACTAAATGTGCTAGAACTATTAAGGGGACCTCCCCCATTCTCGATTTTAATTTTTCAAGATTTTCATTGGGTTGCTAAATCAATACTAATGCATGTTAAGATTTGTATCTTTACACATATATATTGAAGATTTAAAAGAGAAGGGAAATAATTTGCAAAATTAGGTTGTTTTTGTTGATTATAAAAGTACTTATTTTTGATGGCGGGCATGATAACTCCTCACTGGAACATCGGAATCCGGGGGTGTGGTCCCCTTAAATTTAAATTAGGGTCTCTAATGAAGTGTAGAATATATGTAACGAAGGGTTTTTTTGTATATTCAAATTATAAGTATCCAAAAATAAAATTTACAAAATTTGGTACAATTCAAAAACGTTATATGTGGAATGGGAATTAAAGTTGAGAAGTAGGATCGATATAAGGAGGTAAAATTTGAATTTTGAGAAACGAAAGGAGCTGGAATCCAGAAATGACCCTTCGAGTGTAGGATAGGGATATGTACGTCATGTGTACGAAAAAGTACTAAATCGTAGTTCAATTTTATTTAGGTAATCCGATAGATTTGGAACACTGATATTAGGAAATAAGGTTACTGTTGGAGTGTAGAATTATGTCACTTTAGGGGTGTAGCATTGGCATGTGTAGGAAGTTTTGGATAATTGTAATAATGTGCACTAAATGGTATCAAATGTTGATTGGGATGAACTGATAGAGCTGCAATTTTGAAATTTTAAGTTAGTATTAATGTTGGGGCGTAGGATTGGGCTATGTAGAAATTTGTGAAATTCATACTAACGTGTACCAAATGGTACCAAATTTGTATTTGGGTGAACCGATAGAGCTGGAATCCTGAAATCGGGAAATAAGATATCCCTTGGTTGGTAGTTTTAAAAATTCGTATTTATGTGTACTAAATTTGGTACAATTTAATTTTGGGTGAATGCTGAAATTTGGAGTTAGGATCAGTGATTGGGTATAGTGTACTAAATGGTACTAAATTTGTGTTTGGGTGAACCGATAGAGCTGGAATATTGAAAATTGGAATTATGATATATAGGAAGTTTTGGAAATTCGTACTAATGTGTTTTAAATGGAACTAAATTTGTTAAAACTATATTTGGGTGGAGCGATCAGGCTGGAATCCTGAAATGATCTCTATTGGATTTATATTAATATATTTGGGTTAACCTATAGGACTCACATCATGAAATTTGGAATCAGTTTTGTAAATAAGTACTTCAAATACTTGTAAATAAGCACTTGGTACCAAAAATAGTATACAACTAGATTTATGTTGCGGTCAGAATGGTAGGTTTGGAAATACGTACTATATTATAACAAATGAACTACAGGGTACTAAAATTGTAATTATTGTCAATATTGGTGTGTAGGTGTCTTACCATGAAGTTCTCTGTGAAAACAAAATAATATATTTAGACATGTTTAAATAATTCTCACGATCGCTAACGAAGTAGCAGCCATTTGCTAGTAATAATATAATATTTTTACCAAACATAGTACGAAGATAGGACCTATCGGTTCAGTTATGAACCACCGAAAGTATCAAAATCGAAGTCAGTGTTTTATTGACTGAAATTTTATGTATTTTATGTATGGTTTCCATTTGATTTTGACGATTTCAATTTACACATTTTCGATGTTATTCTATAAATATATATGAGCCTATATTCGGGACATAGTCGTCTCCCGAAAACGTCCTCAGGTCTTATATTGGTCACATATGAAAAACCTCCATCACAACACAAACGAGGGTTCAACAAATTCTGATCCACTCCAAATTATCGTCATGTAGGTTTACCTACCTATACCCACCTCATATGCTAACTTATTCATACCGGCATATGTTTGGATCGCTGGTTACTTGCACATTATTTCGAATGTTTTTTTTCTGTATTTGTTTTACGAATAAATTTTGAATTTTTGTTTACCCATGTGTGTGTGGTGTAGGTGGGTGGGTGGATAGCATTAGTGACAACTTATGTTTTAATTCGCTAATTCTTGCACGCCTTAACCAGCCCAATAAGTCACACTTATTTACACATTGTGGTTGTCGTTGTCTTCTTCTACTTGTGTGTTCTGTTTTCGTGGTAGTAGTTGAAAATAATACATTGACACTTAGTTTTGGGGGATTGGGATTTTGAATACTTCTTTAACATTATTTTGTAGTCTGAGCTGTCTGTGATATTTTTGTTTTTTTTTCTTTGGTAGGGTAGTTGTTGTTGGTGTTCTTTATTAATAGTTGTTGGCACAACAAAAACAACTACTGCTGCTGTCAGCGACAGTTACTCAGCATTGACAACAACTGGCTGGCGGGCAACATAACAACAAATACTACAATTGAACTTCGCAGCTGACATTGTAACGAAGTTTTTTTTGTGGGGGGTTTTGAACTGGATATGTGTGTTTGCGAGCCATTTGCGTTCGGAAGTCCATTGAAGAAAATTTTGTGTATAAAACTGTTGAGCCGTCAAGTTGACAGCATCACAACCCAATTGTCAGTTGTCATCGCAACAATATCACAAAAACTCCTAATAAACGAAATCAGCAGTTAGCTGTCAGCGCCTTTAAACGGGATATAACGCACAGTACGAACCGAGCAAACAAAAAAAGGAACTTCCCTCACAGTGTGTGATTTTTTCCCAACGAACGAAAAAAATTGAAAGCGTGTGTTTGATTTAATTAAAATAAAGTGAAACTGCAAAAAAACAATTAGAACAAAAAATGGCATACAAAGTAAGTGAGAAAAAAATATAATGAAAGAAAAAATAATAAATTGTAAAAAAGGACAATCATGGAATGACAATAGAACAAATCGTACATATCTCTTTAATAATAAAAAGTGACATTAAAAAAATGTGAAATGAAAATTTCCGAAGAATTTTTTCGGCTATTCAGCAACAATATTGAATAATCAGCAATGTTATTTATATGGCTTAAATTCTATGTTTTGAAAAAACGAAGCATTTTCGAAAAATTTAGAGCTATTCAGCTAAATAGCTGAACAAGAAATGTGATAAATGTCCTATACAATACAAATTAACCAAAATTCAAATTTTGATTATTCAGCAAAGCGTTTGTAAAACTTAACCAACACATATTTTCCTTATAGTTAAAAAAAGTAAAATATATTGAAATGTTAGGCCCTAAAATAAAGTTTAAGATATTTACATTTATTCAGCTGCAATTTTGATACGCCGCATTAAGTTTGTAAAGGATCATTTTTAAAATATCAAAAACATTGAACTATTTTTTTTAACTTTCGGGGTTTTCGGAGCTGAGCACAATAAAATCAATTTTACTTAACAAGCTCTCAAAAATATCAAATTCAGCCACATTGCTAATTTTCAGCAACACTTAAAGATATAATATTCGCTAAAATTGTATTATATATACTTGCATTTTACCATATAAACTTAATTCAGCTTCAAATTTCTTTATTCAGCAATATACGGCTATGATTTTGTTAAAATTATTTTCATAAATCTTATTCAGCCAAAAAAATCAGTTGAAAATTCAATAAATGTTTTATAAATCTCCAATTCAGCTAAAAGATTTCTTAAAATTATTCCAATATCTCTTATTCAGCTAATTATTTTTTATTCAGCCAAGAAAATCAGCTAAATTTAAAACTCCAATTCAGCTAAGACTTTAATAAGTTCAGCTAACAAAAATAATAACAATTTATCTTATTCAGCTAAATATTTCAATATTCAGCTAAATTGAGTAAAAACCCGTTATTTATTCATCTTATAGAAATTTAAAAATTTAATTTGGTCAACATTTCTTTTTTTAAATTACTGTCAAATTTCAAATTTCTTTCCGCAACAAAATACTGCTATGATTTTGTTAAAATTATTCTCATATATCTTATTCAGCCAAAAAAAATTAGTTGAAAATTTAATAAATGTTTTATAAATCTCCAATTCAGCTAAAAGATTTCATAAAATTATTCCCATATCTCGTATTCAGCTAATTATTTTTTTATTCAGCCAAGAATAATAAAAAAAATTCAGCTAACAAAATTAAAAATAATTTATCCTATTCAGCTAACTATTTATTCAGCTAAATTAAAAAAAACAGTTTTTATTCATTTTAAAGAAATTCGGTCAAAATTAAAATAAAATAATAAAATTATATAAAAATAAAATTATATTAAAATTATTCAGCTATTTTTTTCTCAGCCAAGAAAATCAGATAAACATGATTTTAATCTCCAATTCAGCTAAGATTTATATCAATTCAGCTAAATAATTAATAAAATATATTAAATTTCCTATTCTTTTATTTATCAAACGTCAATTTGAAAAATGAAGTTAGCTGAATTTTAAACAATTCAGCTAAGGAAGTTCTATACATTATTAAAAAAAAAACACTTATTCAGCTAAACCAATTTTCATTTGAATGGACTTTCGTTACAATTATTTGATAACCTTATAAAATTATCCTCATATCTTTTATTCACCTAAATATTTTTTATTCAGCCAAAATTAGCTGAAAATCCATTCAAATTTTTTATAAATCTTCAATTTAGTTAAGATTTAATTAAGCTGGATTTTAAACAATTTAATTTTTTGATACTCTGTATTAAACTTTACATTCAGCAAGCAAAATTACTTAATTGCATTTCACCCGTCATTAATTCAGCTAAAATTTAATAGAATACTTAACAGTATATTAAAACTGTAATACACCTCAAAAAATCAGTTAACATAACATAATATGTTTTATACAAATTCCTCATAATCAGCTGAATATTTTTTATTAGAAGGAATTATTATTATTCAGCTAAATTGTACTATGAATTTAGTACGCTTGAATGCTCCACCACTTCAGCCAGCTGAATACCATTCCGATTTTCCTTCATTCCATTCCTAATTAACCATTCTCAATTTCCCCTTCCAGTTCATCACTCTTGTCGGTCTTTTGGCTTTGACCGGTTCCTGCATGGCCGGTGTTGCCTACTCTCCTTTTGTCAGGACTTATGCTGCCGCTCCAGCTGCTGTTGTTGCTGCCAAATCGGTTGCTGTAGCTCCCGTTGCCGCTGCTGTTGTTAAAGCTGAAGAAGTTGACCCTCATCCACAATACGATTTCTCTTATGGTGTCCATGATTCCATCAGTGGTGACATTAAATCTCAAGTGGAAAGCCGTGATGGTGGTAATGTAGCCGGTTCCTATAGCGTTGTCGATGCCGATGGTTTCAAACGTACCGTTACCTACACTGCTGATGATGTCAACGGTTTCAATGCTGTTGTGACCCGTGAACCCATTGTAAAGGCTGTTGCTCCTGTTGTCCATGCTGCTCCAGTTGTCAAGACTGTTGCTCCCGTGGTACATGCCGCTCCCTTGGTACATGCTGCTCCAGTTGTCAAGACCTACCATGCCGCTGCCCCCGTTGTCCATGCTGCTCCCGTGGTCAAGACTGTTGCCACTTATGCTGCTGCCCCAGTTGTCCATGCTGCCCCTGTAGTCAAGACCACCTTTGCTGCTGCTCCAGTTGTCCATGCCGCCCCCGTTGTCAAGACCACCTACCATGCCGCTGCTCCTCTTGTACATGCTGCTCCAGTTGTCAAGACCTACCATGCCGCTCCCGTCTTCAAGACCTATGCTGCTGCTCCAGTTGTCAAGACTTACCACGCTGCCGCTCCTGTTGCTTTCTCCGGCCCCTTGTTCCGCTCTTCTCCCATCTTCCAACAATACCACCAATTCCCCTTGCAACAACAACAAACCACTTTCTTCAGCTCTCCCGTCAATGTAGAAGAACAAAAACCCCAAGAACAACAACCCGCTGAAGGTCAAGAACAACAGCAACAACAAGCCGAACAAGCCCCCGAACAAATGGCCCAAGAACCCACTCCAGTTGAATATCCCGAACAAATGAACGAACAAGAACAATTCGCTCAACAACAATTCGCTCAACAACAACAGATGCAACAACAACAATACCCCGGCTATCCTCAATACGAAATGCCCCAACAACAATTCGAAGCTGGTCAACAACAACCACAAGAAAACAACGAAGATTCCGAAGTTGTTGAAGCCCGTGCTGCTCCCATGGAACAAGAACAAGAAAAAATGGAACAAGAAGCTAAAGCCGAACAAGCTGAAGAAACCAAAGCTGAAGCCAGCACCACCACTGCTGCTCCCGCTCCAGTCACTGAAGAACAAAAAGAATCTGACGAAAAGAAATCCGCTTAAATTTTTTTCGACTTGCCATTAGAAAAGAGGGGAACAGTTCCGCCCACACGCAGCTGTGCCCTGAAAGCTGATGCCTGATAATGATTGCCGTTTTGTTTAATTATTTTAGGTATTTAAAATTCTCATTTTTTGAAATTATGTAGTTGTTAACACTGAATAAATAAAAACGAAATATTATTTTTAAAAAAGGCGTTGTTTTGTTATTTATTGGGAATAATTTCAGATCAAAGACTTATTGAAAAATAAAAGCATACATTAAGAAGTAAAAACGTCGTAAAGTTCGGCCAGCTCGAACTTGTTATACACTCCCCCAAGTGTTGTGCATTTAAACTTCCTTAAATCTGTTGATAATTTTATATAGGGATGGATCCCGGCTTCGAATACCTGCGGAGAAAAGATAATTCTTCAAATCGGGTTTTTTATATTTGTAAACCAGTAAGGAAAGTAATAAAGTCGGACTGGGCCGACTATATGATACCCTTCACTACTTTGAATATATTCTACATATCGTTAGCTAAAATGCAAAAAGGCGTAACTAACAAAAAATTGAAAATTGACTTTTTGAATGAATATTGTGAACGCCAATAAACTACAAGTATTACACGTCTGCGGTCAAAAAAGGAGCTTCTATTAACAAAAAACAAAAAGACGTAACTACTAGTGGGTTTATTTGTTAAATGCAAAAAGGCGTCACTAACAAAAAATTCACGTTTTTACTTAATTGTTATGACTAAATAACTAAATTTGTTAAAAAAAATTATAGTCTACTAGCTGACCCCGGCAAACGTTGTCTTGCCTTAGCTATATTGTTGATGTAAAATGTTCGGTATTTTAGATTTGTTTTTATACTCATAAGGTGAAGTGTACAGATCGTTTGTAATACCTTAATATTTATCAGAGCTCACTTAAAGTAAGATTACAGAACTATATATCTACAATTTTATGTTTCGGTGGGTATAAGGGTATTAATTAAATTCGTGGAAAATGAATTTAAATTTAAAACAATTAAATGGACATTTAATTTTGACATTCAAACTTTATTAAAATTTTCCCAATATAGTTATACGACTTCAACATAACGATAGTCCAATACTAAGTAAACTTTTTTACCCTCCACGATTTAAGATAGAGCTTTGAAATTGGCACATAGATTGTTACTACTCCTAGTGTTTTCGTATTGAAAATGCTGAATAACCTCAATAACCAAAAATTGTCAATATTTGTCCATGTTTTAGGATAGCCCCTATAATGGTATCCCTCATTGTTAGGTATTTTCTCATGTTAGTTAACGAATTACTGCGAATAAAAAACGTATACCCAACTTAAAACATAAGTTGTTAATTTTCGGTATGTTGAAGTTCTTAAGGCAAGTTTGGATTCTAATCCCACACGATTTCAAACGTCAATTCCATTCCCTATACGTGATGTTAGTCCTGTTCACTAATCGTGTGGTATATTTGACGTATACGCAATGGAATTGACATTTGAGATCGAATGGATTTCGTAAATCTAAACTCATTTTAATCCCTGTTTTTCCACCTGAATGTGTAATTCTGAACCTTTTTTCAGAATCTATGTATTGGAAGTAAAAAAAATGTTCGATCCTAACGATGTCCTCATTTAATATATCAGTAGTTGACATATTGCGGTATTTGTGGTATATGTAACATCAGGAAACTCTTTGTTATAATAAATGTTTTTGGAATAAACGTCATATTGATAGTTATTCCCTCTCCAGCTTAGCTTAATGATAGAATTTTATCGTATATTAGTTTTCTCTGTGATACAAATTTTTGGTACCGTATATATGCGAGGTGTTGTGTTTATAAGCTGAATGATATTGATATTGGCATATAACCACCAAATATATATAATGGTACCACTTGATTTAATATTTGAAGTGGATAGCAATATTTTAGGTACTTTGAGGAGCAACATGTTCCTACGGAACTATTATTTGCAAACAAAAACATCTAGGGCATTTATGTTAGAATCAGAATTCCCTGAATGAAAACGAACTCGATTCAGAATGTCTTCTGATTTTCTGTCCGTGCATTTGTCCAAAATGTAGGTGCATTCCATGGAAAACGTGTACATTCAATGATCGCGAGCAGATTCAATGGTCATATTGATAGTTACTTCTCAATTAATTTTGTGTATTATCACACAAAATGGTTTGAATACAATGTCAGTCCAATAAAAAAATAAAATAAAATATTTTGAAAATATTCAATAATTGACAAATAACGGCTTAAAGGAATGACACGCTACCTATTATAGCCTAAAATATCTCAAAATAACAACTACGACGTGGTGCAATCAAAATTGCTCGATACTAAGTTCGAGCTATGGAAGGATATCAATCTCTAAGACATGAAAATATATATCAAGTGTAAATAAAGAGACTGAAAAAACACATCATTTCTGAAAATACACTTGTCTGAAATACTTACAAAACATGATTTTCAGTACATTGTAAACTCAGCACACATTATTCTGTACCTAATTCAGTACTCTATGCCAAATTTCGTGCAAATCGAAAGATATGTAGGGACTTTGGTGCACCATTTATCTTAAATCGGACGAAAACATATATCTAAATCTGAACCGATTTTTCCCAATTTCAATAGGGTTCGTCCTTGGGCCAAATAAGTGACTTGTGATACAAATCGGATTATAAATGCGACCTGTACTTTGTTTACACTTTAACACTTTGTTTACACTACAGACTACGGACGGACATGCATAAATCGACTCAGAAAGTGATTCTATGCATATTCTCAAAAGGAACCATGTGTATATCTCGTTTCCTTTTGCCTGTTACAAACATATGCACAAAGACATAATACCCTGTACCACAGTGTGGTGAAGGGTATAAAATTAATCTTACTATAGACGAAATGAAAACGAAGCCCCCTGATACTCTATTAAGCAAACCTGGTATCAATATCAGCACATGATAATTGCAGAAATAAGAATATAAGGATAAAACTCCCCCAGTGGAAAATGGCATCAGTAAAAAAGCAAAGACCTCCACTTCTGCACAAAATTTGAGGAGTCGTTGGGCTTAGGCAACAATAGATGGCAGTCACATCACCTAAGATAGGCTATAGTAGACCAATCATCTACTAAGCTGGTATATAAAAACACAGCAGGATTTTATGGATAATGACACACGAAATTGGACGCGCATTGAATAATGGAAAGTAAGTACGAACTCTTCGAGAATCATGGAGGCTTGCACAGCTAGAACAGAAAATGTAATCGTATAAGATCGAAGTCTTCGTGATCGAAGTCTTATGACATTCGGAGAGGAGACATTGTGATTCTCGCAACTAACGCTAACAAAGAAAACTATATCACCAACACTCGTTCAGCAAAGGGAAGGAATGGATGCGGAGTCAAAAACAATAACGATAAGGGACTCATAGAACTGTGCCAAAAATTCCAGCTGGTCATTGGTGGCTGCATCTTTCCGCACGAGGATATTTATACCATTAACCACACTGTGGTACTGGGCATTATGTCTTTGTGCATATGTTTGTAATAGACAAAAGGAAACGAGATTGACCCATGGGACCTTTTCAGACTATGCATAGAATCACTTTCTGTTTTATGTCGATTTATGCATGTCCGTCCGTCTGTTGATGTTAAATTGTAAAGAAATTGTAAAGAAAGTTAATCCTAATTGGCTCATTTATTTGGCCTAAGGATGAACCCTATTGATATTGGTGAAAATCGGTTCAGAGTTAGATATAGCTCCAATATTTATGTAAATGGTGCACCAAAATCTCTACATATGTTTCGATTTGCACGAAATTTGTCATAGTGTACTGAATTTAGTCTTGATTGAAATGTGCTAAGTTTCGTGAAAATCGGTTCAAATTTTAGGTAAATGTTGTACCAGAGTCTCTATGTATCTTTCGATTTGCACTAATTTTGGCATAGTGTACTGAATTATGTCTACAGCGATGTGTGATAAGTTTCGTGAAAATCTGTTCAGATTTAGATATTGCTCCCATATATAACTTAATTTACTTGGCATAGTTTGTAAGAGAGACTGAATTATGTCTACAAGCAATTGTGTGTATATATAGTTTCGTGAATTTTAATAAATTTAAATGTGAAAAAACAACAAATAGAAATATTTTGAAAACCGAATTGCCTTGTATTAGACGCATGAAGCAAGTTCAAAAGAGAACGATATATAATAAACTCGCCTATAATCAAGACTAATATTTTCGTCCGAAAATTTGATCGATAGGCACACAATTTTGTACAATGTACTTATGTTAGTATAAACTTACGTGTGTCAAGTTTTCGTGAAATCAATTCAGATTTACATATAGCTCCTATATATATTTTCGTCCGATTTTAAGTCAATGTCGCACTAAATACCCATAGCTAGACCGATTGACACAATGTACTGAAATTAATATAAATTAATCTAGGGCAAGCTTCCTTGAAATCGGTTCATGACACAACTTCCATATATAATTTAAACCTATTCATGTTAATTGCACACCAAATATTCAAAGTGTGTCTGATTGAGACTAAATTTTAAACAGAGCAGCACACCGAACAGCGTGTGTTAAGTTTGCTTTAAATTTAGCATAGGTTGCAGAGTGGCATGTGTAGGGATTGATGTTAGTCGGTTTAGATATAGATAAAGATCACATATTGAAGTTCGTTCAATTTCATGTAAATGTTCCTTCGAAAAGACGATACACAGAGCGTTAATTGAATACGGGAGCACATTTAATAAAGAACAATTTCTGTCCCAATTTTTTCTTGGAATCAAATTGGGAACCTTTTATAAAAAAATTAAAAAATAAAATTTTAGGTATCGTTATAATTTTTTTGCACCCGGTTACAGTATATAAAATTCTACAGTTGTCGTTTAAAATAAAAGTCAAAAGTGGTCTGGTGTTTTTGTAGTGAAACTTCAAAGTCAAACTTCATAGAAATTTTTGTGCCAAAAAAAGACTGAAAAAGTGAAA